CCCGTTTGCTCACTGCAGCTTTATTCACGGTGGCCAAGACATGGAAATACTGAAGTGTCCCTTCAGTGGATGATTGGATGAAGAAGACGGGGTACATATACACAATAGACTGTATTACTCGGCCATAAGAAAAGATGAAACACTGCCATTTGCAACAATATGGATGGCTCTTGAGAGTATTATGCTAAGTGAAATGAATCAGACAGAAAAGAACAAGAACCATGTGATTTCATTCATATGTGGGATATAAAACAGAAAGCAAGAAATGAACTAACATACAAACAAACAAACAAACAAAAACAAACTCACAGATACAGGTAACAGAATGATGGTTACTAGAGGGGAAGGGGAGAAAGCAGAGAGTGAAGAGGGTAAAGGGGGTCAACTACGTGGTCCCAGAAGGAGACTAGACTCGGGGTGGTGAGCACACAACTGAATGTTCAGATGTCGTATTATACAGTCGTACACTTGAAATTTATATAATGTTACCAGGCAATGTTTCCCCAATAAATTGAATTAAAAAAATAATAAAAGAAGAAACTCAAGCCAATAAACTTTTTTAAAAGATGCCATTTTGTACTCATTATTGTCCTTTTCCCCCAAATTTCCAATGTCCACAATAAAATTTCAGCAACATTGTAAAGACTCAACATCATTTGAATCAATACCAAAGATAAAAAAGTCACTCAGCAAAGCACTCCCTACTCAGATTCAGGCAGTTGGAGTGATTGGAGCCAAAACGTAAAATCAACTGAACAAAGATTAAATTTTTTCCCTTCAAATTGATAGCCATTATCTGAAATGTTTTACTGAAGCCATCTCCTAGACATTTTAAAATATACCACTGGGATTTTTAGCACAAGGAAGCTATTCTATATGACATTATAATGGTAGACACATGTTATTATACATTTGTCAATACCCATAGGATATACAGCACTGAGAGTGACTGTAATATATGAGGTTGGACAATTAAGTTCACGAACTCATCCTAGAAAGCGTGCTCCATACCTCACTGCTGAATATCACTATGGTCACCTTCGAAGTACTCCCCTTGGGAAGCTATGCACTGATGCCAGCGCCCAGTCCACCCTTCAAAGCAATTTGGAAACTCTTTTTCTAGAACGGCCATCAGAGCTGTCATCATATTACCCTTGATGTCCTGAATGTCATCAAAATGTCTTCCTTTCAATATTTCCTTTATCTTCAGGTAAAGAAAGAAGTTATTGGGGGCCAGATTAGGTGAGTAGGGAGGGTGTCCCAATACAGTTATTTGTTTACTGGCCAGAAACTCCCTCGCAAACAGTGCTGTGTGAGCTGGTGCATCGTCGTGATGCAAAAGCCATGAATTGTTGGTGAAAAGTTCAGGTCACCTAACATTTTCACGCAGCCTTTTCAGCACTTCCAAATAGTAAACTTGGTTAGCTGTTTGTCCAGTTGGTACAAATTCATAATGAATAATCCCTCTGGTATCAAAAAAAGTTAGCAACAGGGTATGCTAAGGATGGTATGCTAAGGGTGATGATGACGTGTCATTGGAGGTTCATCCTGGGTTATGACAAATAAACCGCACCGATTGATGCAGGGTGTTGATGGTGGGGAAGGCTGTGGGGTGGAGGGATGATGTGGGAATTCTCTGTATTTTCCGCTCAACTTTGCTGTAGACTTAAAACTGTTCTAAAAATAAAGTGTGTATATATATATATATATATATATATATAATTTATTTATATATATAAATAAATAAAGATACCACTAAGGCCACATGAAGTATTCCTTTTCTTAGGACTCCAGCCTAGTTACTGAAGCACAATTTCACAAAGAAAATATAAAAACAAGATGACCTTCGTAAGAACCACTGCTTCTTCTGTTGGCTTTTATCAAATCTTCTACAATGTCAGCCGAAGGCATTGACTCAGTGAAGTCACTGTGTGATCATTTGTCTTTTTTTTTTTTTAAAGATTTTATTGGGGAATTGGGGAAGGGGAACAGTGTTGGGAAATTGGGAAAGGAGACCAGCCAAGTTGTTGTTCTTCAATCTTCATTGTGGAAGGCGCCAGTTGCCATCTGACTTCCCGTCGGCAGCTCGTGGCCTCTAATCTCAAGGTGCTGCGTCCAATCTTAGTTGCGGGTGGGTGTAGCCACCATCCCATATGGGAGTCAAACCTGGCAGCTTTGATGTTAAGAGTGCACACTCTATCCACTGAGCCTTTCGGGTGGCAGCTCAGCTCAAGATGCCAAGTTCAGTCTTAGTTGCGGGTGGGCATAGCCTACCATCAAACAGGCAACCTTGTTGTTACACCAGCTCAGCCATCCTGCCACCTGTTGGCAGCTCAGCAACAACTCAGCTCAGGCACAGTGTCACTGGCCCATGTGGGAATCGAACCAGTGGCTCCGTTGCTCTGAGCTCACACTCTTAAGCCAACTCTTAACCAACTGAGCCACTCAGCCGGCCCCCATGTGTCTCTTCTTAAAGAGCTAGATGGGGACACTGCACACAGCTGATAGGGAACATTCAATGCCCTCCATGGACCCGTGAACCCTTGCAAGTATAGCTTCCCCACATTTGCCTATTGACACATATGGCTTTGCACGTGCTAGCAAGCAGCCTTTGAGGGAGAGACTATATTACTGTGCCATGGAGGTGGCTTCCACAGCCAATCGTGATAGAGGAATTTCAGATGGACCCCCTCTATTAGGAGTTTAATCCTCTATTTGGACTTAGCAGTGTGGATTGTAATTGCTTGCAAATGCTTGAGCTTCAAAGTCTATAATGAGGTAGCAAAAGGTGGAAGGTTTAGAGCAGCATTTCTCAACCTATGGGTAGCGACCCCTTTGGGGGTCGAACGACCCTTTCACAGGGGTCGCCTAAGACCATCAGAAAACAAAAAGATACTTACATTATGATTCATAACAGTAGCAAAATTACAGTTATAGAATAGCAACAAAAATTATTGTATGGTTGGGGGTCACCACAACATGAAGAACTGTATTAAGGGGTCACAGCATTAGGAAGGTTGAGAACCACTGGTTTAGAGGAATTACAAGGAGACTACCTCTGTCTCAAAGATTCCTAATGTGGTGTCAAGAAAACGCTATTTCTGCACACTATTTTCCCTACCTAATGAGGGTCCAGTTCTCAAAAACCATAGGGAACCACTGCATATTCCACCCTCCTTTCAGACACGGACAAATGTGCATTCATATATTAAAGGCTCTCAGATCTGCACCGATCAATTTAAGAACTGTATTAACTTTGACCCAACATTTCGCAAACTTATGTGGCCACATAATTTTTGCTGCTGCTGCTCTTATAATCCTTAAAGTGCTTCCTAACCACCAAAGGAATTAGTGCTGCAGAAGCAACTTTGGAAATTGTGAGTATTTATGGATGATAATGAGAACAGTAGGCCATTAGAAATAAACATTACATTGTTTTGCTCTCACAATTATGTAAGGGGAATGAGAAGTTACTAGATACACAAACGTGAGCAATGCTGAAGATTTTAACAGAAAAGCTAAGTATGGACTGAAGCACAAAAAAGACATAAATAAACGCCTTTATGTCATTAGTCTTTGGGCCCCATCATTTTTGTTTGGGTCACAAAGTAGCCAGGCCAGCTCATCTCACTAGCTCTCTTTCTTATTCATCATATTATCTTTTGACCATCAAGTGATGCTTGCTACATACATGCTCATGACTGCATAGGAAGTGGGTTTTGAAATATTATAAATGTGATTCCTTCACATATTTTTTATCCTGCTGATAAACACAAGGTAGGAAAAGTAATACTCGCTTTCCTTTTGTCAGCTTTACCTAATACACTCAGAAGCCTCTCTAAGTAAAATTTGTTTTGTTTTTTCAGGGGCAAAAACCAAAGGAGGTTTAAGTTAAACTGGACACTATAAATAAACCACACTCTATATAAACTCTCTAAGAGGTGGTATTGTACCCCTCTAGCCCGATCAATAGTCATCTAACTCCTTGGGATTTTTTAAAATCCTTACTCTTAATTAGAGCTACACTTTAATCTCCAGAGATACTGCCAAAATTTAGAAGGTGATCACCTAAAAAGTACACATTATTGGCTTTTCCAAATATACTCTTATTGTACCATGAGCAGCTTTTTCTCTAATAGCATGCAATTCTTTACTATTGGTATGTGTATATATTTTGTCATATTTCTGTGTTAAGTATACTTTTGTTTACAGTTTTAATTTTGCTTTATTCTTATCCTAAGCAGTGATATACAAAAATAAATCAATATCCTGATAGGTTAGATATATTCCTAATAAATGTTAAAACCTATTCACCCCTTAAAATCATCTTGGATATCACCAGTAGAATGTCTAGCACACACCCAGGAAAAACACATGGAAATTTCTTGCCATTAAGAAATTAAGAAATGAGAGTTGGAGTAGAATACAGTTAAGATAACCTCTCATAACTCTCCTTCCTGTAAGATGTATGCACAAATAATCCAGCAAAAAAGGATTTGTTTATTTTACACTGCTTTCTGAAAGAAAGAAAAAAAGAACTCTTTTTAAAATAGTGTGATCAGATGCACTTTAGAGTCAGGGATGAGCCAAAGCACTGAGGGAATAAATCCCAAGTCCTGAGTGTCTATGTGATACAATAAACACACCAAAGGAGGCACTTGACTGAAATATGCCATTTTTATGAAGACACAAGCATCCCCTAGAACGAAAGACAGACGCTCCTACTGCTTTAGACATATGAGGGTGTGTGTGTGTGTGTGTGTGTGTGTGTGTGT